AAGAGAAGGAAACCTTGTAAGGGGAGAAAGGAGTCCTGTAGAAGCGAAAGGGAATCCTGTAAGGGAGGAAGGGAGTCCTATTGATGTCGTTTGCTCCCCCGGCGGCGCCGCGAGCACGTCGTTTGTGACCTCATCGACGTTGACGCCGACCGCGGAGGCCCACCGCGGGCGGCGCGAGGCAAGCGACTCCCTCGCGGTCTCCACCCCCACTTCTTACAGTGGAAAAGGGGAGGGCGATGCGACGATGGCGACCTCCGCGCTCGGTTCTGTATCCCCCCCAACATATCTGATCGAGGAGGTGGTGGACGGCGAACAAACCGCCTTTAATCCCGGCGCCGTGGATCTTTTTAGCGAGATCAGCTCTTCAGATGCTGGGGACTATAATAACCACGAGGACAAGGAGGAGGAAGAAAAAAATAGTGAGGAAGCGAGAGAAGAAGAAGGGTTTGACGACGAGGAGGAAGAGGAGGGTATGTTCAATGGGATCCCACGGACTCTCACTGGGTACTACACCGCTGCCCCCGCGCCGCAGATCCACAGCCAGCTCCGGCGGCAGCTCTCGCCACTCCGCGAGAGGCTCCTCACGCGGCTCTCTCCTCCCCCGGCTTTTACCCTGAGAGGGAAAAAGGGGAAAGAGGTGGAGAGAGCGTTCCTCGTCGCGAATGAGAACGAGCGGCGGAATGATATCACGGCGGGTCGTAGTAGTGATGGGAGTGGACTCAGTAGAGTGGGGGAAAGAAAGGGGTCCATTCAACTGGGCAAAGGCTTGTCCGATGTGCCCTCCAACCAGCCAGAACCGACACCACGTATTTCCGGCCGTGATGGGCATCATGGGAAAGGGTTTCTTTCTCTACCACAACAAATAAATTCCATTCCATCCTCACAAAGTGCAGTTGAGACCGGCGTGGGGGAGGAGACGATGGTTAAAGAAAAGGAGAGGTGGAGTTGTTGTTCATTCGAAAGGCAGCCCGTTGAACCCGCCGAGAACGATGAATATGATACAGTCGAGCGCATCGCGCGCCACTACGGGATCACGGTGGGGGAGGTGTTGTCGTGGAATCCCTCTCTTTCTGATTATCGACCGGACGAACCGCTTCCGTCGAGCATGCCGATCGTGCTCTTCATACCGGATGATGAGGGGGAGGAGCCCCGTGAGAGCATTTCACCGATGCCGATGAAGCCGTAAATTTTCCTTTTGACTTTTTTATTTTTCCCCAGAGAGGGAATGGTTTCTAGTTTTTATTGGTTAGCCTTTCATATGGGGATTCGCAAGGAGCACCGCAATCTCTTGATTCGACAACTGGTGGTGCTTATCCATAGATATCTACATCTGTTTATCCACATGCAGATATAAATGAATAGAATGATAAATAAATATATTAATCCGTGCAGTAGAAGGAAAAGGTTATTTTTAACCAACTACCACTACTACTAGGCACTTTTTGTAGAATTTTACATTATTTAATATTCCTTTCCGTTTTTTTTTATTATTATCTGAAGCGTGATGCTTATGTGGGTGTGCTTGAAGGTAAATGCTTGTAGCGGTGATATCACTTTTTTGCACAAGATCCAGGGTTTAGAAGCTAAACAACCTTCTGTGAGTTTATCATATTAGTTTTCTATACGATAATGGAAGATTTTCTACTCCCTTTTAAGAAATAAATCAAATATAAACCGAGTCGAGTGCAACCCCAAAGTCTCAAACTCAATTATAATTTATTTAGCGTTTTAATCTATATGAATAAAGAGGTAATACGCACGAAATATTTTTTCAAGATCGATTGCATCAGCCATTTACCGAATATTACCAACCTCTTTTTATTCCTTCCGTGTTATTTTTCATCCTATGATTTTAGGATCCACGTCACTTATGCCAAATTGTTTTTGTCTTATGCCAACGCTTTCCACCAAGCGACCCTCCCCCTCCTTTGTTTTTTTTATTATAAAAAATCTATTGCTCAATTCCCTCCTTCCCATCTCCGAAAAAATAAACAAACAACAACAACAAAAACCCCCTTCCATTGGTTAAGCCTGACAAACCCCACAGCAATCCCGTGTGATTTTCTTTCCCTTTTTTTCCCCCTAGTCTTATAGTTGGAAACAGCCTCGGCGATGCGCCACCCTCGGCTCCCTTTGGTACTGCGCAAGGACGACCACCTGGTGGTGGCGGTCTACGACGAGGACGGCGCCGCCCTGACGGAGTTGACGGGCGACTCCGCGAATGTCTACACCGGGGACTACCGCGAGTGTGAGGTGTGTTTGAACCCGGCCCGGCCCGGGATGTTCGCGCACGCCACCACGACGCACCTGCGCTGCAGCCAAATCGAGATCTCCCACGCCGAGGGCGAGGCCGACGGCGGGTTTACCACCCGCTGCCTGTTCGAGCAGGCGATGCCGCACGTCGTGATCGAGATGGCCTTCTCGCCGCGTGGGAAGTATTTGGTGACCTACGCGATGATGGACCCGAAGCGGACCCCGGATGGGAATTTGAGCATTTTCGACCTCGCCGCGGGTGGGGCGCTGGTTGTGCGAAGCGCGCAAACGCGATGGCCGGCGGTGGCGTGGACGGCCACGGAGGAGTTTCTCGTGCGGCCGATGCAGGGGTGGCTGCATGTCCTGGCAGGGCATCCCACCCGCGAGGAGTCCGCGCCCTCAGCGCCGGAGGAAAACGGCCGCGCCGGCGGGGGCTTTCCCTGCCTGAGCAAAATCGACCTCATGCTCGCCCAGGATAAGGAATTCACCTTTTCGACCTCCACGAGGGCGGACCTGCCCCTTTTGGCGCTTTTCAAGCCCTTTTACAAGAACCAGCAGGCGAGCCTTTTGCTCTACCGCCTTCCGAATCTTCAGGAGGGCCCGCTTTACCAGGTGCCCTTTGGCCGTTCCGAGGCCGCGCGGGTTTTGTGGAGCCACAGCGGGCACCATCTCGCGCTTTTGGCCCAATCCGAGCGGGACGCGCGGGCGAAGAGCTATTACGAGACCATCTCGCTCCACCTGATCGACGTGCTGAAGCGCCGCACGACGTCGATTCGGCTGACGGAGGAGGGCGAAACGGTCCACGACGCGCGCTGGTCCCCGACCCCGCAGGACGAGCTCTTGGTGGTGCACGGGAAGATGCCGCGAAACCAAACCACGTTGTTCGGCCCCACCGGCGCCAAACTTCTCAGCCTTGGCGAGGCCCCGCGGAATCGGGGGTTGTGGGCCCCCAACGCGGCGGGCTTCGTCCTCGGCGGCAGCGGGAATCTCGCGGGGGATTACGTCTTCTACGCCTACGCCGCGGGCAAAGGCGAGGCGCGACGGCCGCCGCGGGGGGAGTCCCCGGCGGCCCCCTCCCTTCCCGTCTCCACCGGCGCGTTTAACGAAAAGTGCAGCCTGCAGGAGTGGGCGCCGGACAGTCATCATTTTCTCTGCGCGACCCTCTTTACGCGGCTTCGGATGGATAATAAAGTGGTCATTTTCAAGAAAAACGGCGCGCGGGTCGTGACGGTGCGGTATCCCGCGCTGTACGGCGCGCATTGGGTGGGGCTGCGATCGCCGGGGGATTTCCCGCTCCGGGCCCCTTCCCCGCGCGCGGGGGAGGGGGAGGGGGAGCAAAAACCCCGCGCCTATTGCCCCCCCGGGGGGACTTCTACACGGGCCGCCGCCCTTCTCCGTCGGCAGGATCCCGCGGTGCCGTCCTCGACGACCGCGAGCGCCGGCCCCGTCGGCGCGGTGTTGGTTCAAAAAAGGAAAAAAAAGCGCTAAAATAGACCCGGAAGGGGAGAGGGTCATTCTGGGAGTTTCGGTTTTATAAATAAGCGTGGATGTGAGGTGGCGAACTCCTGTGTTTTGAACGGCTGCAGGAGCGTTCGATGATTTAATAGTTTTTAGTTTTACGTACGATTAATGTAGACTGATGATAATTCAAAAAATAAGGGCAAAAATGGTAATCAGTCACAAAAAAGCTAAAGAAGTGGTTACAAAAAGGGAATGTGTGGATTAGAACCTTTTAACTAACATGATCCCATATTACTTCTTCCGCGCAGGGTTTGGGAAGGGGCATTGCGTTTCCATCTATTCATTCGTTTCTTTGTTCTTTACCTTTAAACGTGGTTTCAGGCATTATATATTATCTATCCATATATATTTACTGTTATTCACATTTCACTTAGCGCCCACCGGGGGAAAGATATATATTTTTTTTTTTATTGGAAAAGTCCCGACCCTTTATTTTCCCTGAGGGTTTTCTATGGCCCCGAAAAAGGACACCGCGAAGCGCCCGCGCGGGGCGACCCCGGCGAAGGACCCCCAACCGAAAGTCCGCCGATCGACCGCGGCGGTGATTGGGAATCGCACGGAGGGGCCGCTGACGCGATCCCCCGCCGTTCTCGCCAGCCTCAACGAATCCAAAACGGAGGCGGCGATTTGGCAGGGCCTGCGGCCTTTTGTCCGGCGAACGGCAGCGGACGCCTTCGATGGGGCGGCGATGTTGAAGTTCGGGACGTGGAATGTGGCCGGGCTTCGCGGGCTTTTGCGCAAAAACGAGTCCGCCCTGAGCGATTTACTCCAGAAGGAGCGGTTTGATGTTTTCTGCCTGCAGGAGACGAAACTGAACGCCGGGGATGCGCAAAACGCGGGGTTGGGCGAGGTGGCGGGCTACACCTTTGTGGACCACCCCTGCCAGGTGAAGAACGGCTATTCCGGCACCCGGACGTACTTCAAAACGGCCTGCGTGGGGGACGGCTGGCGGGCCCAACACACCCGGGGGTTTAACCTCAAGAACGAAGACGATCCCACCGACAAGGCGGACGGGGAGGGGCGGGTCTTGACGACGTGGCTTTCGCGGGCCGCGGCGGGGCCGACGCTCGCGGTGGTCAACACCTACATCCCCAATAGCGGGATGAAGTTGGACCGGCTGACCTACCGCGTCGGGGCGTTTGATCTTAAAATCCGAGAGTACCTGCAGGCGGTGGATGCGCGTTGTCTGGCGAACGCGCGTTCCACCACCGCGGAGGCGAACGACGCGGGGTTTATCTGGACCGGGGATTTAAACGTCGCGCAGTGCGATTTCGATCGTTTTTTTGCCGGCAATTGGAAGACCATGCAGCAGTGCGCGTGCTTTACGCCGGAGGAGCGGTGGTCTTTCCGGGATACCCTTCGCGAGACCCAATCCGTGGATGTCTTTCGCCATTTATACCCCGACGCCGCGCCGGTGTATACGTTTTGGTCGATGCGGTTTAACGGGCGAAGTCGGGGGATGGGGTGGCGTTTGGATTATTTCGTCCTCCCCGAACGATTAGCGCGGCGGGTGGTGGATTGCTTTGCCATGCCGGAAGTTATGGGAAGCGATCATTGCCCTGTTCAGCTGTGGTTAAAAAAACAATGACGCCAAACGCTACGGCGTTGTCGATGAGGTGGTTTTCCTTTCCAGGGGTGGGGGGAGGGGGGTTCGATTTCGTCGCCTCTCTCTCTTTCCTTTCCTCTTGTGGGTTTTGAGGGTAGAGAGATGCACCTCTAATACATCTTTTCTCCAAAGAAAGAGAATCCACCGACATTGCTGTGGCACTTTGTTTTATTATGGAGGTCGGATCCATCTATATGTCCGACTTTCAGCTGCTTTGGAGGTTTACTTCACCGCAAGGTGCGGGGGGGCAAACTATCGCCTTTTGCTCCACTCACCGACAATAGATAAGGAAGTGAAGAAGGAAAAAGTATCCAACAGAGCGATCCTCCACCGCGTTGGGTTGGCTAGCAGTAGAATAATGATAGTAATCGTGCATCTACCGAGAGCCCTCCTTTTTTCGCTTATTCACCTTCTCACCAGGTTTGAATTGTGTGCTATTCCCTCTGAGAATGAGTTAAAAGGTACACACTCGCACATTTTTTTTTTAAATTAATAATTGACTTTCTTTCCCCTTGACAGAGTTTTTTTTTTCTGATTCCCTGCATTATAGTGATACCTATAGAGAAGTTTGGAGGAGGAGAATGCACTTCTCATGATAGGGATTGTAGTTGATGCAGGGCAGTTTAAGTGCATTATCCAATACAAATGACCGATATGGGAGGAGATGGAGGCACGACCTAAAGTAGCCTCTCCCTGCCAGGGCTTTGCTTTTGGGTAGTTTGCTTTGGGCATCGTTCCATAAGATAACTCATGAATTGTAAAGCGTTTAGTACCATTACCTTCTTTAATTCAGGATGCAAACCCCTGAGAGCATATTAAGATAATCCGCTTCGTCCGCGAGCGATTGCTGTGTTTCATAAAATCATTATTTCCACATACATAGAGTAATGCGATGGAATTTCAACGCATTGGTTTGTTTATTATCTTACCGAGTTCACTTTAAATATGAGTCTTTACCGATGTATATGTATGTAGACACCCATTATTAATTTCGGTTGCGTCGTCGCAGTAGCTTCCTCTTCTAATTCCACCCTAGCTTTTTATTTGGCATTGATTTACTAATACCCCAGAAGAAAAAAACATAACCTTGTGAAAACAATTAAACCCTTGCAACTTAACAAAGAAAGCAAGGGTTTCACACATACACACACACAGAGAACCTGAACCAGATTTAAGAACTCCGCCAGGCATATTCCTTTATTTGACTTCAAAAATTCCTTCCTTTGCTTTTTATCGTCGACGCATTTCTTCACCTGAGCGACACTTCCCCAGAAAGGGAGAAAAAAGAACCCCCCTTTCCCCCCCAAAAACCAGAACTTCCAGGCCTGTTATATTTCCGGCTTTTGGTGGTTGATTTCTCAATTCCCGAGGCTTTTAACCTGCCCTTTACCTCACAGCCCTTTTCCTGACACTTCCCCCCCTCTTTTCCTCTTATTTTTGTTATGCAGCGTCGTACGTTGTGTGCGCGCCTGTGGCGGACGGCCGTTACGCGGCTCGACGCCCCCTCCGGGCTCTGCGGGGCGTCCTCCCGTTTCTTATTTCCCTGCGAGGCCGATCTCGGCCCGGGGGCCCCGCCCCAGCCCTTTTCGCTCTCGCCAACCCCCACCAGTGTCTCCTACGGCGAGGAGGAGATCCAACAGGAACGCGCGCTCTACGCGGACGAGGAGCTTTCTGAAAGGGGGACGGGCGATACTTCTGGGGGGGCCCCCAAGGGGCGAGCCCACGACTTGGGCGACGGGGCCGTGGCTGCGCCGGTGGACTTGCTTCAGCCGCTGAACCTCTTCGGTAAGTTATATCCCGAGTCCATTGCACAGACGTTACGAGAACAAGCCACGGCGAAGAACTTCCAGTTTCCGATATGGTCTACTTTGGGTGGCTACATCCGGTTTGGGCTCGCAGTACTTCCAGAGGGAGGATCGGGGATACAACTGCAGATTCAGAGTAAAAGGACGGTTGAGTTGTTCAACATCCAGCAGTCCAATTACAAATTCTCGACGACCACGAATACTTTTCAAGACATCTTGAAGGATCTGAGGCGTCAATCTAAACTATTATTACCACGCGATATCGGTGGTCGATACTTGAACTTTAAATTCGAAGTCTACATCCGAAATCATTGGTCCTTCACTGACCTGCAGAAGGTCTGCCCGCTCTGGATTAAAAATTATCATTTGGAATTGCTGAGTGATTCTGTAAAGAAGTCTGAAAAATTAAACTTCATAGCCGTTCCTATGGTACAAATGCATGCGCCAATAATTAACTTTCCCTCTATTCCTTATTCACCAAATACAATGCAATATTCGAGTATGAACGTTAATGCAAATATGCACAATCATAGCATTTTCTACAACATTTCACAGCTCGAGAATTCCTCGCGATACACCAGGAATCGGGATATTTCCAAGCAACTGATTATGTTGAACTCGTGTGGAAAACGGTACTCGTCGGTTATGACCTTCCGAATGTTTGAGTACTGTTACCAGTACTTTTTTAATTACGAGGATCCTTCGGTGTGGATTACGGAGTCACGTTTGAAAATGTTGGGTGGACAAGTAATTAACAAACCCCGCTTCTCAAGTGTGGAAGCGCAAAAGTTGTACTCATCGCAGAAGAGCCTTTCTACAGTGCAGAGACCCCTTCTGTGTGATTCAGATAAACGGGAGGAGGGGGTTGTACCACCACCATTTGTGGAGTGTGTTTGTGATGAAATTGTAACTCTTTACAACTCAGAGCAGACCGATGTGCATAATCTGGTTTACAAGATGGCTCTGAATATGTATTCTGAATCATTTTCATATTTAAGGAATAAAAGCCCAAGAAAACAATACAATGATCAATATGTTTTTTAAAGGACAATAATATAATTCTAACAAATTTTATTCTTTACTCTTTTCATCATTATTGAACAAAAAAATGTTGATTTATTTCCTTTGCATTGCATGAGAAGGATTATACAAAATAGTGTTATTTTTCTTCCATTTTCTGTGTGTTGGTCCGTTTTGTTTTTACTACCGCCTTCTTCCCT